TTACATGACTTTAAAGCATTGCATTAGCCCTTCAGCTAATTTCATTGGGTTGAAAGAGGACGTAACCATGACTAACTGGTTGTAATAAAACAATAGTCTCACAGTGGGGACTTCACAGAAGGAGGTCCTGTGTCAGCTGTTCAGCTACAAAATAATTCTCAAATTTCCTATTAGAAGACATTTTTATCACTGGCTTATTATCTGCCCAGTTGTATCATATTCTATAAACTTATAGTACTGTAACTACTAGCATGCTGTCTAGGGGTTAGGCCTAATCATTTTCTCACCCAGCACTGGGATAATACTACTGCACCCTGTTGCATATTTTGCTTGCAACCAATTGCTACCCACTCCCATTTACAATCTACACCCAATCACACTCTACAACCAATCACAGCCTAAGTCAATCACAGGCTACACCCAATCATTGATGACACCCAATCACAGCCTACACCCATTCTCAGGCTGCACCCAATTACAGACTACACCCAAGTGGAGCTTAGAGACCTGAAGACTGTTTCCTGTCTACTACACAAGCAAAGCACTGTGGCTATTGGAAATCTGAAATAAAAACAGGAGATACTAGATGTGGTCAATAGTTGATGGAGTGTCTGCGGAGAGATGAGAAACAGAATTTAGGTTTCTGTTCTGTGACCAGCTAGGTCAATGCTCTCCAAACATTTTCCCACTGTGACCCCAATTTGAGGCATGAAGGTTGTTGTGACCCCTATGAGAGAATGGATGCCTATTTCCAGAATACAGCTGTTATAACTCGATCATAATTCCAAAACAGTCATTGCTGCCTCATAGCGCATGAGCCCCAAATGTCAGCTTGTGACCTCAGTGGGAGTCCTGACTGCCACCACTCCATTTTCAGAAGCTTTGTATTATGTTTTGATAAATGTCACCTGAAACATTAACTCTTTCTCCACAGATACCACCTGACATGCTCAGTGTTTCTGGTATTTTCTGATTTTATTTTATGATTTCCTCTCACCGCCCACCCATTTGTTGCTTACCTAGAAATGGTCAGGAAGAGGGAGAGCAGATTAAGGGTGGAGGGGCGAACTCAGAGGAGGGCATATTCAGGAGATTGAAGGGGTGAAAGGAGATTGAGGAGCAAGATCAGAGGGAGGAAAGCAGATTGTGGAGTAGAAGGGCAGGGGACCGGTAGAGGGGAAATGGGAAAGGAACAAATACTACAGAGGGGTGATGTACATGAGACTGCAGAGCAAAGATGGCAGATTGGAGGGAAAACCAGAAGAGAGGGATGAGAGGTCAGTGTGAAGATTGTTGGGTTCAGGAGTTTGACAGAAAATCATAGAACTTATCATAGAATCCCTACAGTGTGGAAGAAAGCCATTCAGCCCATCGAGTATGCATTGACCCTCTGAAGAACATCCCAACCAGATCCACTCCACTACCCTATCCCTGTGATTCACCTAACTTACACATCCCTGGACACTATGGGCAATTTAGCATGGCCAATCCACCTAACCTGCACATCTTTGGACTGTGGGAAGAAATCGGAGCACCTGGAGAAACCCACACAGACACTGGTAGAATGTACAAACTCCATACAGACAGTCACCCGAGGCTGGAATCAAACCCATGTCTCTGCCTCTGTGAGGCAGCAGTGCTACCATTGAGCCACCATGCTGGCCCAAAGGAATCAGAGGCGGCAAGGGCATAGATCCAAGAGGGAAGACGGGATCAGAGGGTGGACAGCACAGGAGACTTGTAGGGATGAAGTAGGATGTCAAAGGAAGACAAAACATTGGAAGCTGGGTCAGGAGTTGGAGGGTTAGAGGCCAGGAGATCCCAGAAAGGTTGGTGACCTGAGAGAAGAGACAGGAGATTGAGGCGTTTGAAGCCAAATGGATTCTCTGCATGTTCACAACGACTCTATGACTGTGAGACAAGAGATCAGACTAACAAACAGCAGAGTGGAGAGTGTCTATCAAGGACAGGAGTTCAACACTTTCCAGGATAAAGCACATCACTTGGACGTCACCTTAAACATGCCACTCCCTTCACCATCAATGCAGTGGCAGCTGGAGTGCCATATTCTCGATGTACTGCAACAACTCACCAAGCTTCTTTTAACAGCACCTTCCAAACCCACAATTGCTTTCATCTAGAAGGACAAGGGCAGCAGATGCATGGAAACACCACCACCTGCAAGTTCCCCTCCAAGGCACTCACCATCCTGACTTGGGTGAATCACTGATGCTGGGTCAAAATCATGGAACACCCTATCTAAAGGCATATGGAGAGTCGGAGAGAGAGAAGACTGCAAGTAGGGAGGAGAGGGGTACTCAGAAGAGAACTTAACTTCAAAATTAAACTTTTTATATTGTCATACAAGGTATTTTATTTATATCCTGCAGTACCATCTTTAGACAAGCAGCTGCTTTGCTTGAGAATAACATTAACTTTGTTTCTATTCCCTGCATCACCTAATGATGGCCTTTATAAATAAATAAATAAATGTGAATAAATAAATGTGAAGTCATACATTTTGGTAGGAGTAATAGTAAAAAGGATTATTACTTGAATGGTAAAAAGTTGCAGCATGCTGCTATGCAGAGGGACCTGGGTGTCCTTGTGCATGAATCACAGAAGGTCGGTCTGCAGGTACAACAAGTAATTAGGAAGGCAAATGGAATTTCGTCCTTCATTGCTAAAGGGATTGAGATTAAAAGCAGAGGTTATGTTGCAGCTGTACAAGGTGCTGGTGAGGCCACACCTGGAGTACTGTGTGCAGTTTTGGTCTCCTTATTTGAGAAAGGATGTACTGGCACTGGAGGGGGTGCAAAGGAGGTTCACTAGGTTGATTCCGGAGTTGAGGGGGTTGGCTTATGAGGAAAGACTGAGTAGATTGGGATTATATTCATTGGAATTCAGAAGATTGAGGGGGGATCTTATAGAAACATATAAAATTATGAAGGGAATAGATAAGATAGAAGTAGAGAGGATGTTTCCACTGGCAGGTGAAGCTAGGACAAGAGGGCATAGCCTCAAGATTACAGGGAGCAGATTTAGGACTGAATTGAGAAGGAACTTCTTCACCCAGAGGGTTGTTAATCTATGGAATTCCTTGCTCAGTGAAGTAGTTGACGCTACTTCAGTAAACGTTTCTAAAGATAAGGTAGATTTTTTTTGAACAATAAAGGAATTAAGGGATACGGTGAGAACGCGGGTAAGTGGATCTGAGTCCACGAAAAGATCGGCCATGATCTTATTGAATGGCAGAGCAGGCTCGAAGGGCCGGACGGCCTACTCCTGCTCCTAGTTCTTATGTTTCTAGAATATTCTGCCTTTCTCATGAGATAATCTAATCACTGCAAACAGCAGTTTGTAAAACTCATTCAGGGGATTTATTGCCCATCCCTAGCTTCCCTCGAGAAGGTGGTGGTGAGCTGCCTTCTTAAACCGCTGCAGTCCACATGCTTCTAAGTAGACCCACAATGCCATTAGGGAGGGAGTTCCAGGATTTTGCAATAGTGACAGGAAGGAATGACAATATATTTCTAAGTCAGGATGGTGAGTGGTTTGGAGGGGAACTTGCAGGGGGTGGTGTTTCCATGTGTCTGCTGCCCTTGTCCTTCTAGAGGTTAGTGGCTGTCTGAGTCCTCATGAATTTCTGCAGTGTGTCTTGCAGATTGTACACATTACTGCTAATGAGTGTCAGTGGTGGAGTGAGTGGATATTTGAGAATGTGGTGCCGATCAAACGGGCTGCTTTGTCCTGGATGGCTTCTTGAGTGTTGTTGGAGCTGCACCCATCCAGGCAAGTGGGGAGTATTCCATCACACTCCTGACTTGTGCCTTGTAGGTGCTGGACAGGCTTTGAGGAGTCAGGCAATGATTTACAATCCCCTGACCTGCTTTTGTAGGCACTCTACTTGTTTGGTTGGTGCAGTTCAGTTTCTGGTCAATGGTAACTCCCAGGATGTTGATCATGTGATAAAGAAAATCTTCTGCAGTGATGCACACTGATAAAAATTGTTTTGATGCCATGGCACAGGTGAAAATCTGACTGGAGGGATTCAAACATGAAGTTCAGGGAAAAGGGGAAATATTTTGATGGTGCACTTTTGGAGTTGGAGATTGGATGGTAGTTTGCAAGAACCAGAGGTCAAGGGCTTTTGTGAAGAAGAGATGAATGACAACTAATTTAAGGAGAAGGATAACACCTGAAGAGAGAGAACTGTTTACAATATTGCCTAACACAACCAGAAGGGAATGATGATGGTCAGCAATTTTTTTGGGGATAGGATTGAGTAAGAAGGAGATGGTCCTTAGGGACAAGATGGACTCAGAGAGATCAGAAGAGGTAGGAGAGAACCTAGACTAGAGCAGGTGCCTGGTGCTAGAGCATTAAAGGAAGCTAGCCAGCTTGGCTAGTGTAAGGGGGGGAAGCACCTGATCAGATAGTCTCAATCTTAATGACAAAGACATTGATGACATTGTTGCAGGTGACGTTGGGAGAGATGGGCAGAGATATTTAAGAAGACAGTGTGCAGCAGAGAAAAGAATCCCAAGTTTATCTTGCAGTGAGCAGTTTTGGCAGATGACAGCAGGATCTGATGGTGCTTTTCTGTGGCCCAGACAGATCTGCAGTTGATGGTAAACCAGTAGGCCAACATTGGCCTTTGAAACCTACATCCTTTGAATCTGACTGAAGATGAAGGTTATGGGGAGAAGTGGCCAGGGCAAGGTAGAGAGTGAATAATGATTTTTCAAACAACTTTTTCCAGTTAGGTTTTTTCCAGCTGGGGTTCGGTGAGCAACAATCTCTCTTCAGTCAGAAAGTTTAAACTCAACTCCAGAGAATTAAGTGTATGAACCCTGATATTCAGTGCAGCATTGTAGGGAGAGCTGCACTGTTTAAAAAGATGCCTTGGCCTTATTTTGAAGGAAGGGCACTTTCCCCCTGGTGTCCTCGCCAACATTTCTCAATCAAACAACTGCAGGAGGTTTTCATCGCTGTGTGTGGGACCTGTTTCAAATCCAACTGACCTCTAACTTCACATCAAAGACACCACCAAGTACAATATTTCACTGGCTGCAAACCGGTTTGGGCGTTATTTGAATGCAGGCCTTCCATAAATGAGCCGGCCCAACTGATTTTGGAGGCTCTGCTCAATTTCTGTAATTTCGGGGAAAGGTGGGGATGGTATAAAGCAGAAGGGAAGACGCGCTACCTGAACCAGTTCAGTGTTTTCCACTTGAGGTTATTTCCTGCCTGTGGCCCACCTCGCCCCGCGCTTGTTCAGCCAGAACATTTAAAGTGCGAAACGATTTGCAGAAGGGTCTTACTGAGCAGTCTGCGGCCTTGCACAGAGCTGGGAGTCTCGGAGCTACACAAGGCAAGTTGGCGAGAGGCCAGGAAGGCTGGGGGCGGGGAGGAAAGTTTGGGATAAAGCGGGGACAGTGGGATCTGGAGACAGCTGAAGCTTGGCTGCTGGCTGGGAAAGTTTTTCGGTGGTCCCGAGTTTGGAAGGGTAGGGGTCAGTGAGAAGTGTGAAAAAAGATTTAAAAAAAAATTGTAAAGTTTAATGCTGACTGTTCCCATGATGCCGTGGTGAGGGTTGTCAGCAGGCGCCTGTGTGTGTGAGAGGCTGTATTTTCCGCCCAGTTCAGCCCAGCTTCCATACAGTGAGAAGGCCCTGCTTTAGCACAGACCAGTCCAGGCTCAGACTGTACGGTAAGACCCGTTTCTCTCTCTTCCCCTTCCTTCCGTCTGCAAAAACACTCCAACCTCCAGCTCTCAAGGTAGGGGACAAATCCCGAGCTGTTCTAAAGCTGGACAAATTTCCCTTTTTCCTCCCCCTTCCGCCTCTGGAAGGTCACACAGGACACCAGGTTCTGTTTTTTTTATTCCCCCTTTTCTGTCTCTCTCTCTCTCTCTCTCTCTGTACGATAATGTTAGCCACTTAAAAACAAGACCGATGGGGCAAATCTTTCCCCCTCCAAAATAAAACAAAATCGAACCACGAGTTCACTCCAAGAGGCATCGGGGAATTAGGGGGAATTGAGCAGAAATGGAGCGAGGAAGAGAGGGGGATGGGAAGGAGGAAAATGCGTGTGTGAGTGTGATTTTTAAATCAGCAAAGGGTAAGATGAAGATACGCGAGAATGAAGAAAACGATGGATTAGGAGAATAATAAATTGTAGTGCACAGAGAGAGAGAATCTAGCGGATGGGATTGTAGAGGGCAAGCAGAGTGAGGATTGTGTGTGTGTCTGTGTATCAGGCCTCTGGTTTGGAATAACATCTATCCGCTAGTACCCTGGTGGATGGCGAGTGTCGACCGGAGCCTTGCAGTCGTTTCCAGGAGGAAAACGTTTGCCTTTCTGCGATAAATCATGTCGCTTTCTGGCGCCATCACTATCGGAAAACACCTGAGGTTATAAAAGCATGTTTTAAGCTTTTCCCTGATGTGAAATCAATACACGTCAGCCAGTTTGTGAAGCAAAAGAAGTGATGGAGGTAATGATTAGGTCATGTCAAGATTGGGTTTCAAAAATCTGAAGATTGTAAACGCACAATCACATCAAATTCCGAAACGGAAATAGGCCATTCGCTTCAATGGCTTGTACCTGTGTTTAGGGCTCACCCTATCAATCCCATCAACATATCCTGCCATTTCTTTTTTGCCCCACAAAACGTATCCAGTTTCCTCTTAGACATCTATGCTATTTGCTTGAATTGCTACTTGTGAAGTGAGTTTCACGTTGTAACCACTGTCTTAGTAAAGTGTTTCTCCTGAACTCCGTTGGATTTATTTCTAACTATTTTGCATCATTTAATCCTGGTTTTGATTTTCTGCTTGTAAGTTGAAACGTGTCTATGTCTAGCACGTTGGCATCCTATCTAATTTTGAAAGCTCTTTCTCAGCTCACCACCTGGTCGTCTTCCTAGAGAAAAGAACCCAGTTTGTTCAGCCTTCCTCAATACTTAATTTTTGTTCTGTTATCCTGCATGTACAAAATATTACATCTTCTCCACTGTCCCTGGGGAAATTATGTTGTGCCCAGTATTCCATTTAGAGTCCAACAATGTCTTGATACAAGTCTAATGTAATGTCCTTTATTCTTTAATTCTGTTCCTTTGAAACTGAACCCAAAAGTTCTGTTAGCATTTTTTTTTGCAGACTTATTAACCTGTGTTGCTATTTTTAATAATTTTGAGCTGAAAAAGATCTTTCAAAATTAGAGAGGCAGTGGCCTAGTGGTATTATCAATAGACTATTAATCCAGAAACTCTGCTAATGTTCTGGGCCCCTGGGTTCACAGCTCACAATGGCAGAGGATGGCATTTGAATTCAGTTTTGTTTTACAAGATATGGAATTTAAGAGTCTAATGATAAAACCATTTCTGATGGTGAGGAAAACCCTGTCTGGTTCACTAATGTCCTTCAGGAATTTCCATCTTTACCTGTGGAGCTGGAAAAGCACAGCAGGTCAGACAGCATCCGAGGAGGAGGGGATGTCAATATTTCGGGCTGAAACCGTTTGTCAGGACTGAATTGCCCAGAGAGCAGTTAAGAGTCAACCACATTATTCTCTGTCTGGAGTCAAATGTAGACCAGAGCAGGTAAGGATGGAGACAGGACTGATGAAGGGTTTCGGCCTGAAATGTTGACTTCCCTGCTCCTTGGACGCTGTCTGACCTTCTGTGCTTTTCCAGCACCACATTTATTGACTTTAGCTTCCAGCACCTGCAATCCTTACCTCTTTCCATCCTTACCTGGTCTGGTCTACATGTGACTCCAGACCCACAGCCATGTGGTTGACTCTTGACTGCTCTGTAGGCAATTGGGGATGGGCAATAAATGCTGGCCTAGCCAGCGACACCCTCCTCCCATGACTGTATAAATAATAATTTATGGATGCAGAGCTAAAGGTCCCTTTTGCTATCCTCGCCTCCATTTGGACTCTTGTGTCCTCCTTATTCTTATCTCCAAAATGCACTGTTTCTCACTTTTTTTCTGTGTTGAAATTAATTTGCTGTTTAAATGTCCATCCTGCAAGTTTATTAATGTCACTTTTTGTAATATTTCATTAGCTTCCACAGTCTTAACTATACCATTCAGTTTTATGCCAGTTGCAAAGTTTGAAATTCTTTTTGATCTGAATGAATTTTGAGGAACCAGCTCAATTATGACAACTCAAGTCCTATGTGCCATTTTGATTTCCAAACAAAGGAAGGAGAGAATTGTCTTAGAAGTGTTTCATTGGAGGTTTATTGGATTGATTGGAATGAGAGAGTTGACTAATGGGGGAAGAAAGTGAGGGAATATGATCTATATTTGCTGAAGTTTAAGAGTGAGAGGTGATTTTTATTGAAACAGATAAGATTCTGAGAAGTCTTGGCAGGCTGTATTGTAAAAGGGCATTTTGCTGATTGGACCACCTGGAAATGAAGGGAATAGTCTAATACTCCAGAGTTGGCCATTCATGACTGAGATGAAAAAATCTTCATTCAGAGAGTTGAGAAATTCTGTAGTTTTCTACCCTTGAGTTGTGAATGCTATATCGTTGTATAGACAGAGGTTGGGTTTTTTTAGATCAAATGGAATTTTGATGAACTTTTTCATTTTGCTGTCATTGGGGCAGGTGCAAGAATACCACATTTCAAAGGGAACAATTTATACTACACAAGTATGATAGCTCATGTGTTGTCGTGGGGAATGCACAAAGGAACAGTTAACCCCCAAGTTTTAGCTTTTCTTCTTAAATTTAAGCAGACTCCAGTTGAAGTATAGCCATGGGGAATGCACTAGGAACCAGTTAGTCATACAGCACAGAAAAGGACCCCTTTGGTCCAAATTGTTGGCCACCAACCAGTCATCCCAATCTGACCTAGTCCCATTTGGTCCATAACCCCCTCAACCCTTCCTATTCATATACACATTCAGTTGCCTTTTAAATGTTGTAATTATACCCACCTCTGCCATTCAGTGAGATTGTGGCTGATCTTGTAGTGTGTCACCATTGTTTTGCACTGTCCCCATATCCCTTGACATTTTAAATATGTAGAAATATCTCAATCTCAATGGCTGAACTTTCTTAGCCCTTTGGGGTAGAGAATTCAAAAACTTCATCAGCTTTTGAGTGAAGAAATCCTTTCTCATCAGTCCAAAATGTCCTGCCTCTTTCTTTGAGATTGATCCTAGTTGCCACTCCATCCTCAACACCTGCCTGGCCCAGACAAGAGAATGTGCACTGTATCTTGGATCTCGAGGTTCAAGTCCGTAGCTCCCTGAAAGTGGACACACAAGTAGACAGGGTGGTAAAGAAGGCATATGGCATGCTTGCCTTTATTGGTTGGGGAATTGAGTATAAGAGCCAGGATGTCATGTTGCAGTTTTATAAAATTTTGGTTAGGCCACAGTTAGAGTATTGCTTTCGATTCTGGTCACCACATTACAGGAAGGAGAGGGTCAAAAATCACATGACACCAGGTTATAGTCCAACAGGTTTATTTGAAGACACATTCTTTCGGAGTGTTGCTCCTCCTTCAGGTGGCGTCAGATGCAGAATTTATAAGCGAAGGATCATGAACGTGCTGCTAGGGAGGCAGAAAAGATAGGGGCATTTAAGAGACTTTTAGATAAGCGCATGAATATGGAAGGATATGGACCACAGGTAGGCAGAATGGATTAGTTTAATTTGGCATCATGTTCGGCACAACACCATAGGCAAAAAGGCCTGTTCCTGTGCTGTACTGTTCTATGTTCTATGCACATGTCTGTTAAGCCCTATGAGAATTTTCACTGTTTGAGATCACCTCTCATTTTTCTAAACTCCAGAAAACACAAACACACTCTATAGAATATTTCCTTATAGTACAATCCTTGCATGCTAGAAATCAGCCTGGTCAACTTCATTACACTCCTATTACCATATTCAGCAAAGCTCCATGCAATACTCCCAAGTGTGGTCTTGCCAAACCCAACGTAATTGGAGTAAGATCTCTTTGCTGCTGTACAGAGATCCCCTTGTAATAAAAGCCAAGATATCATTTGCTGCACCTGCATGTTAACATGCAGTCATTTATGAACAAAGGCATCCAAGTCCTCTTGAACTTCAACACTTCCTAGCCTCTCACGATTTAAGAAATACTATTTAAGAAAAATTTCCACACTAGGGATTCTCTGATAAATACTCTGTTTATGTGCTTTCTGTACCGGAGTGGATACTTCACACTTCTCCACATTGTATTCTTTCTATCAAATTTTTGCCCACTTATTTAAACCTCTAAATGCCCTTGAACTGACTTTGCATCCTCCTCACAACTTGCATGCCTACTTAGTTTTGTCATCTATGAACTTGGAAATGTTACATTTAGTCCCCAGTCCAAAAAATTGATAGTTTGTGAAGAGCTGCTGCTTGAGAACTAACTCTTGTCGTAGCCCATTTGTCACAATGTGCCAATCTGAAAATGACACATTTCTTCCATCTCTGTTCTCCAGAGATCTGTCAACTGCTTCCTAATTCATGTTAACATATTCCACCCAAAGCCACAGTCTCTCTAATTTAGTTTACCAACATCCTGTGCAACCTTACCAAAAGCCTTCTGAAGATCTAAATGTACCACATCCATCTGAACTATTCTGCTAGTTACGTGCCCAAAAATATGCCAACAAATTTGTCAACATGGTTCATTTTCATAAATTCATGTTGACTCCGCCCAATTCTTCTATTATTTTCCAAATGTCCTGTTATTGTGCATCCTTTATTATAGATTCTTTCACTTTCCTTTGACTGTTAGGATAACAGGCCTGCCGTTTCCAGTTATCTCTTCCCTCCTTTCTTCAATAGTGGGATTATATTTGTCCCTTCTAATCTGTAGGGTCCATTCCAGAGACTATAGAATTTGTAAGATGGAGCAATGATACACATACTATACAACCACCTCTTCTAGCACTGAGCAATAGGTCGAAGGGATTTATCCATTTTTAAGTCCTGTTAAGGTCCTGAGTACTAATTTCCAACTAATACTAATATTTCATATCTTGCAGTTCCTCGTTTATGCCAGTCCCATGATATTTTCCATGAGCATGTTTTTGCCTCTGTGAAGACAAAACACACAGAATTTTAGTTTCTCTGCCATTTCCTTATTCCCCATTATCAATGCTCATGACTGCTCATCATTATTTTTGCTCTTTTTTTCCTTTTTTGACATATTTTATACAAATTTTTACAGTCTGTCTTTTGTTTCTGGCTTATTCTCATTCTGTTTTCCCTTAGTCCTTTTCTTGGTCTTCCTTTGCAGAATTTATTCTATGTGAACTGATCTTCTATCTTGACCCTTAGAACAAGATCCTCTCTCACTACAGTACAAATGTCTGTGTTAATTAAAAGAGCTGCCCTACTACCTTTTTCCAAGCTTTACCCTTCCTGAATTTTGCATGCAGTTGATACTGAGCTCTTAGATTTAGTTTCCTGGTGGCCATGTCTCTGTAATGGCTATTCAACTGAATCAAGGGTATTAACTTTGAATAAGGGACATTTATGAAAGCACGAGGCACCATTTAGCTAAAGTGGATTGGGATAATATGTCAGAGGATTTGAATGTAAATAGTCTTTAAACAACCAGTACAGACTTAGAGCAGCTAACAATCCTTTAGGTGCAAAAGCTCCAACAAGGTCATCAACTTTTGCTATCAAAAGAAGTTCAGGATTGCATAAGATTGAGAAAAGGCTGATAAAGAAATGGCAATAAACCTGAGGATTGGGAGAATACAGCAGAAGAGGATCAAAGAAATTGAAGTTTTGCTAGAATGAATGTAGGTCAATTAAAAGCAGAGTCAAGAGAATTTATAACGGGGAATCAAGAAATGGCAGTGAAGCTAAATGATTATTTTATTCTTGTTTTCACTCCGGAAGATACCAGAAATCTCCTAGAACTAAAGATCCAAGTGGCTAGAGAGAATGAGGAGCTGAAGAAAAATTAGGATTCGTAACAGGTTGAACTGGGAAAAATTAATAGGGCTGAATGTTGATAAATCCTCTGGACCTTGTGGTCTACATCTGAGTGCTAAAGGAACTGGCTGTAGAGATGGTCAATGCATTTGGTGGGTTTTTTTTTCTTTGAAAATTCTGTAGATTTATGGAATGATTCCTGAGGATTGGGAGGTGGCAATATCAACCCGCTATTTAGAGATGGCACAAATGAGGTGATCTCATTAAAACTTACAAAATACTTAAACATACAAAGCAGGTGCAAGTACAGTGGGGAGTCTAGAATGGGGGCACACCTTAAAATAAAGGGATCCCACTTAGATCTGAAGTGAAGAGAATTTTGTTTAGCTGGGGGGGTTGTGAACCTTTGGAGCTCTCTACCACAGAGGGCTGTGGAAGCTCTGTCTTTGTCTTTGAGAATGTTTTGAGATAGAGATGGTAGATTTCTCATCTGTTATTGGGATGAGGTAGGCAAAAGGTATTGAAGAGTTTGATCAGGCATTATCAATGGGCTGAATGGCCTACTCCTGTTCCTGTCAGGTCATACATTTGAACCTCTATTTGAGCGGTGCTTGCAACAAAGCAGATAACCTGTTGTGGGCATTCAGATACAGAACACTTAATCCAGTATTTTCACAGTTTTAGTAAAACCTGATCCTATCTGCTGGCCCAGTCTTCAGTTGGTAATCACTGCCATACTCTGATTATAATTACCTTTCTATTGCCCTGTCACTTCCTTATAATTTCTTCAATATTCCTTGACATGATCCTTCTGCCCTCTCTACTTCCCTAGTTATACGATTTACTGGAACATTTGCCCCTTCACTGGAGTTCAGCTGAAATTTCTACCAACAGTACAGCTCCCACTCTCCTCTGTACTAGTGCTAATGACCCGTGAATCTGAATCCACTTCTCCCATGCCAAACTTCGTCATGCATTTATCAACTGATCCTTTCCCTGTGCCAATTTTCACATACCTTGGATAGTAATCTAGAGACCATTGCCTTTCGAGATTTTGCTTTTCAATGTCGAGCCTAATCCCTCTTGCACCTATGTGGGACTTTTTTCCCTGCCCGTGTATGTGCCAGTGGCAATGAAGCTGAACGCTACCCCGACCCCTGAACTGCACATTCCTCTCTAGTCCTGAGCTGATATCGCAAACCCTGGCAATGGGCATGAAATAGGGCCTTTTTGGTTGCAGAGAACTGTGTCCATCCCCATCCATGTCATCCCCCTTCTACCACCAAATTACTTTGACCACCACCACCAACTCCACTCCTCCCACCCCCAAACCACCACTGCCTTCACATGCAGTGGCCTCCACATTCCGTTACCATTATTGATGTCCCACTATCAACATCCTGGAGGTAACCATTGAACAAAAACTCAACTGAACTCTCCATATAAACAGTGTTACAAGAGCAGGTCAGAGACTAGGAACTAGGAATACTGCGGTGACTAACTCCTCTCCTGACTCCCCAAAGCCTGTCCTCCATCTACAAGGCACAAGTCAGGAGTGTGATGGAATACTCCCCACTTGCCTGGATGAGTGCAGCTCCAACAACACTCAAGAAGCTTGACACCGTCCAGGACAAAGCAGCCCGCTTGACTGGCACCACATCCACCAGCATCTACTCCCTCCACCACCAACACAGTACATACTGCTGCTACGATCTACAAGATGCACTGCAGAAATGCACCAAGTCATCTTAGACAGCACCTTCCAAATCTACAACCACTTCCATCTCGAAGGATATGTGCAGCAGATACATGGGAACACCACCCCTGCAAATTCCCCTCCAACCCAGTCACCACCCTGACTTGGAAATATATCTCCATTCCTTTGGGGTCTCCAGGTCAAAAATCCTGAAATTCCCTCCCTAAAGGCAGTGTGGGCCCACCTACCTACAGCATGTGGATTGCAGTGGTTCAAGGGGGCAGTTCATCACCGCCTTCTCAAGGGCATCTAGGGATGGGTAATAAATGCTGGCCCTGACAGCATGTCCCACGTGAGAATTTAAAAAAAACATGTTTGTACTGAATGACATTGTAGGTTTGAGGGGTTCTTTAGCCAAGTCCAACTCCTGTTCCTGATGTTCTTTTAAGATCTGAACTGGAGGTTACTTGTCTGATTAAGCCTAAGACATGAGCCAAATTCTACCCATTAGCTCATTTGAACTGACATGAGGAGACTCTTAAATGGGAGCAAAGGTGACCAGCATCTTTCACGTGGAAGCTGTTGGGTTTGGATCAACGGAAAAGCAGCCTTTTCATTGTTAACAAAGTGCCCTGACTTCCTGTGATGCTTCAGTGATCTTTTTATAGGAAGGATATTATTAAGCTAAAGAGGATGTTGCTGGGAATGGAAGGTTTGAGTTATAAAGAAAAGCTAGGACTTCTTTGACTGGAGCATAGGAGGTTGAAGGGTGATCTTTATAGAGATTTATAAAATGATGAGGGGTATAGATAGTGAATGGTAGATTATTTTTCTCCTATGATGGTGGATTTCAAGACTAGGGGGCATATTTTTAAAGTGAGAGGAGACATGGGGGGGCATATGTTTTATGCAAAGGATGGTTCATGTGTGGAATGATGGATGCAGGCATTGTTACAACGTTTAAAAGACATTTTATCTAAGTCTATAAATAGGAAAGGTTTGGAGGGATATGGGCCAGGAGCAGGCAGGTGGGACTGGTTTAGTTTGGGAACATGGACTGGTTGGACCGAAAGGTCTATCTGTGCTGCATGACTCTGATTCTATTTGTTTTTTAATGCTGCATTATTAAATACCTGCCCCCCACTCCAGCCAAATTCCCCATTGAAGATCCTAGACCTATCGGGTTACAAATTAGTTGTTGCATATTGTCAAGTTGTGTGATAGATGTTAGAAGATAATATTGTCAGCCAAGAAATCCTGGACAGGTATCAGCTTTACACAGAAACTGGGAGGCAGTGTTAGAATAGGAGATGGCAAGACCAGAGATGTTTAAATGAAGAAGCTGTGCTGTATCTGTGGAACCTGATTTATCATCAGCTTCTTCACTGTGTAACCATCACATTTTGTATCATTGTACTTTTCTCTTAAATTCTAGTGAACCTCCATTCCAGTGCTGTTCTAAATGAATCTTCTTGTGTTCCTCATGTGTTTAATTGTGTATTGTTTCTTTTGTAGATGTTGGGGCTCTCTGTGTTTCGAAGTTCTCATGTCTTGAAAGCTCGGGGTCTTTTATCTGCTGTCAGTGCTCGAGCAGCACATGGACATGGTAAGTGTCTGCGGAGACCATCTTCTGAATCCAATTGGTCACAGTCCCTGCCATTAGCTCACATTGTGTAGTGGGTCAGACAGGGTGATAATGGTCTGTATAGGAGTAGACAGGGCCAAGCCTGGGGTCAGAATCTACCAGACCTCCTCTTCCTGTTTAGGACTAAGTAATTGTGGTTGGGTGTATCAGTATAGCAATCTGGTGAAGGCTGTACTGCGGCCCATGGTTAGGTAAACGACCGAAGCTCACTATCTGAGCTTAGCCTTGTAACATGGCTCCGAGTGACTATTGGCACATGTTAGCAGTTTCAAAATGATCGAGCTAAAAGTGGCTTCAGGAGAGGAATCCAATGTGAGCTTAATAGCAGGACGGAGAGAGCAGAGGATTCAAACTCGTTCGGCATTCTCTGAGGTATGACCCTGTGGCCCTTGAGATGGTGCTTTCGGCCATGTTGATAGAAATAGAGAGAGCACGTTGTTGAAAGTCACCCTGAGTCGTGTACTGCTAAACAGAGAGGCCCCTTGGCCACAGCTAACAATGCTATTTCGTGGCTGAGCCAAGTTGTCGTGAACATTTATCTCGTGTTTAGCTGACTCAGAAGCTGTAATATGTAACTGGAAACAGTCCAAATGACCAAGGAGTTTTTCACATTAAATTACTGTTGACAAATTTTCCAATTTTGTTTTCGCTTTGAGCTACTTGCTCAAAGCATGTTAGTGCTGAGGAATGAGACAGTTAACATCAGTCAGGCCCCCAGGACAAGTATGGTACAGCGTTGGATAAAGAGTAAATCTTTCTCCACACTGTCTCCATCAAACACTCCCAGGATGGGTACAGTATATGGTTAGATATAGAGTGAAACTCCCTTTAAACTGCACCAAGAATATGCTACCAAAGTTTCCAAACTAAAAAAGGCAGGTGGGTTCACAGTCATGTGACTGTGTTTAAGTTACCATTGAGACGAAGGCTTGCATTGTATGTAAACAACTGTCTATGGCCTACCTTAGAAGTTAAGTGGAAAATTATTAAGATCATTGTGCAGGATGGGGGTAACTTATTCTACCATGCATGGGTTTTTCTTAGAGTAAATCCCTATGGCACTTTAAAGGACAATAGTTAACATTCCTGCCTTATCAGGAGTTTGATGAAGTGTTGATTTCTCTGGCTGAATTTAACTTCTCTGGAAGATTGCTGCTAAGTCCATTTGTGATTATTGCATCTTTGGTATTTTTAATGTGTCTTAAACAGTCACTGTAGATTTGTATGATCTGTTCATGACAAATAGCTTAATACTGTACTGACTCAGACCTTAATCGTAATTACCATATTCATTACACCAAGAGAACAGTTCAGTCTGAAATTTGGTTTAATGTCTATATCAAGCTTGTGATATGAGGAATCCACTGCCTGTATTGACACCTCTGGTCAGAGATAGTAAGAACTGCTGATGCTGGAGTCAGATAACACAGCGTGGAGCTTAATGAACACAGCAGGCCAGGCAGCATCAGAGGAGCAGAAAAGCTGACCCTTCTTCAGAAGGGTCCCGACCCGAAATGTCAGCTTTCCAGCTTTCCTGCTCCTCTGCTGCCTGGCCTGCTGTGTTGATACCTCTGGTATCTGGATGGGTTAAAGATAGTAAGAGAGAATGATCAGTGAATATGAAACTTCAAGAATGACAGAGAAGAGAATCAGCAGTGAATCCCTTAAGTCTTCCAGAACACTAACTTTACAGTTGATAGGACAACATGTAAATGATTGGGTGAACAAACTGACAGCTGTACCTTTTTCTCCCTCAGAGATTGCTAAAAGTGAAGACCTCTCGATGCCCATGTACTGTGATCGGAGAGATACACCTCTCCCTGATGTTCCTTATGTACGGAAGCTGAATACAGAACAGACAGCCCTGAAAGAAAAAGAAAAAGGGTCTTGGCAGAACCTGACCAATGAAGAGAAAATTGCATGTAAGTGTAACGGGTGTCTTTTGCATTCTGAGCTTTTTCTCTATTTAATTGCATCTTGTTGCTGGGAGAGGAATTTTTTCTTTTGACAGTCACTGTTAGATTTGAGTGTTCCTGACTCCCGGACCTGTCAAACAGGTTTAGGTACAGACTGAAACTTTCTCTACTCATTCCTGAGCTGAGAACAGTATGCTTCATTTTGATCATTTTGTCATTTTTCCCTCCAAGAAGCTGTTCTACTGTAATCTGTACAATAGAAGCTGCTGATTTCATGGGCATCAATATTTGTTGTCAATGCACATGCACACATAGCTAGATTCAAACTCCTTGAGCTCATTCTATCTGTCAGGGAGCAGATAAAGGACATGCACGTTTAATTCGTCAAGAGAAAAACACATCCCAGTGTTGTTGTCTAATTCACTGTATTGTGTCTAGTCCAGAGTGCTCAGGACCAACTGGAAAAGTGAAGAAATTTTTTTTACCAAACATCTCAAACTTGTTCCAGAGATTCTGGTCCTGTCTCCTGTAATTTTCAGGGACTATCACAGACAACCTGTGTATGCAGTGTGCCCGAATCTCACCTTTACTGCTCAGAAAAGAATATGCTGTGAGGTTCGTATCAGACAATAGCTAATCCTAATGGGAGCCCTGTAAGGGACTCATGTTGATTGTGGGTGAAGTGCACAGGAAGTATAGGCAGGGACAGAGTGAGTGGTTGTTTACTGGTGCTTGTGTTTTATCCTAGTGTATCGCATCGCTTTTCATCAGAGCTACCATGACATGGTTCAATCGAACAACGAATGGAAGACAGTGCTGGGTGGAGCCTTCATCTTTATTGGATTCACCGGCCTGATTGTGTGGTGGCAGAAGGCCTTTGGTGAGTCTCCTCCTGTACTCCCTGTAAATCTGGTGGCTATATGTGCTTCTCAGAAACTCCAGTGCAGCATCACCATGTGGCCAACAGAGGCAGTGCAATTACATTAAAAACTTCTGGAAATATGAAAAGTCCAAGGAAGAAACGATAAGGGATGTAGGACAATGAGAAAAATATGGGGCAACCCTTAAAAGAATGGGCTGGTTGGTGATGCTGAATTTTCTGTTTGTCCAAAACAGTACAGTACGACTAAGCTGTATAAAGGTGTTGACTGTGGCTCAGCAAGTAGCCCTCACAATATAGTGGATTTAGTCCCTGCTTCAGGGACTTGAGTTCAGAGACCAGGCTGACAGTCCAAAGCCATGAAGTACACCGACTTTCTCTTTTCACCACATCAGTGGATGTTTTTTTTTTAAAAAAAAAGAAAAAAAAAAATCCCATGGCACGACTTGAGGGAGAGGGACCCTGGGCAATATTTGTGTCTCAACCGTTATCACTTTTCAAAGAAAACTGATAGTCTGTTCTTTGCATCTTTGTAGCATTTCAGTAGAAGTGTATATAAAGTGTCTGCTACGTATCCTATTTCATAACAAGGACTATGCTTCAAAGATACTTCAAAATGTTACTATTGCTGGGGAAGAAAAGATACATCTCGACAAAGCTTTTCATCTTGCACTCATCAGGATAATCTGCAAAAAAAAAAATTACTAACTTCTGGGAAAACTAGCACTTATATTGAATGAGAGGAAAGTGCTGATTGGTTGGCAAGTGGACTCTGATAGAGGCATTGCTGTTGGTTTTCCACTCTATTATTCTTGTGAATTGTCCTGATGAGCATGGGACAAAAATTTTCAACAAAATTGTCTTTTTTTTAAATACTCCAAGTACTCTTAATGGAAGTAAAGTGTTGTGAACCTGCATTGGTTTCTGTTCCTGCTGCAACTCTTCCCTCTGGTGTATCCAGGCAATCTATTCTTGATGCCACCAATTTCCATTTACCTTCACTCACTCAGAATATCATCTGAAATCAGAAGGTCACATTCCACAGCTATGCTGATGTCAGCCACCTCTAACTCCAACCTCTCTCCCTGTCTCTGCATGTTTGATCTCTAGAAGAGGAAAAACTTCCTCCACCTCAATTTCTAGCCACTGACTTGACGTTGAACCAGATGGGACAGCACTTTGGGTTCCTGTTTGTCCTTGAGCTGAGTTTCGGACCACATGTTATCTCTAAGGAAGCTAGAAAATGATGGGAAGGTGAAATTGAGCTAGAAGATCAGCCAGGTGCTTACTGAATAGTGGAGCAGGCTTGAAAGACTGGAGATCTGCTCCTAAATCCTTGTGTCCTTATTTGTTATAAAATCCTCCAACTCTGCTTTTTGTTACTGTCTGATCCAATCATCTCAGTGCAGCCCTCATTGGCCTCCTATCTTTCATTCTACTTTTATTGTACATACCCGACAGGTCCATTATAAAATGTGTAGTAATTCACTTTGTTGTACAGTCATGTGACATACCAGCAGGGAAATGACTGAAGAATTGCCAGCTAATTTCTGCTTGGCTTGCGTTATGCTCATTGTGGTGAGACAGTATGTTTGTTACTTTGAAGGGCAAGACTGGTAGCTGTAGGGATTGCTGGATGACTAAAGAAATTGAGGCTCTGGTCAAGTAAAAGAAGGAAACATATGTCAGGAAATGAGTGAATCTGTAGAAGAGTATAAGGGCAGTAGGAGTATACTCTAGGGCAATCAGGAGGGCAGAAAGAGGACATGAAATATCTGCCAAAGCAAGGGCTAAGGAAAGTCCAAAAGTATTCTACAAATATATTCAGGACAAATGAATAACCAGGGAGACAATAGGGCCCCTTAAAGATTAACAAGGCTGCCTATCTGTGGAACCACAGGAGATGGGAGTGAAACAAAAGCAGTATTTTGCATCGGTGTTTACTGTGGAGACAGATATGGAAGCTAGATAACTAGTGGAAATAAATAGTGATATCTTGAAGCCTCCAAATTACAAAGGAGGTGGTGTTGGACATCTTTTTTAAAATGCATAAATGTGGTTAATTTCCCAGGAACTGAACAGGTGTATCCTAGAACATTGCGGGAAGCTAGGGAAGTGATTGCTGGACCCTTTGAGATATTTGTATCATCAGTAAACATGGGTGAGGTGCCAGAAAATTTGGTAAACCAGATGATTTGCTAAAGAGATGCCACTATATAAGAAAGGTGGTGATGAAAAGCTAGGGAACTATAAATCGGTGAGACTTACGTTGGTAGTAGGTACACTGTCAGAGGGGATTCTGAGGAACAGGATTTAGATGTATTTAGAAAGGCAAGGACTGATTAGGGATAGTCAATATGGCTTTGTGTGGGAAATCGTGTCCCACTAACTTGGTTTTTTTTTTGAAGAAGTGACTGAGATGATTGGAGGCAGTGCGTGGATGTTGTCTATATGGACTTCAGTAAGGTGTTTGACGAGGTTCTGCATGGTAGATCCGTTAGCAAGGTTAGATCACATGGAGTACAGAGAACTAGGCATTTGGATACAAAATTGGCTCGAAGGTAGAAGACAGAGGGTGACGGTGGGGTGTTGTTTTTAGGACTGGAGGCCTGTGACCAGTGGTGTACTGCAAAATCAGTGCTGGGTCCACTGCTTTTTGTTATTTATATAAATGATTTGGATATGAATATTGGAGGTACGGTTAGTAAGTTTGCAGATGAAATCAAAATTGGTGTAATGGATAGCAAAGAAGGTTACCTCAGAGTACCTCGGGATCTTGATCAGGTGGGCCGAGGAGTGGCAGAGTTTAATTTAGATGTGAGGTGCTGCGTTTTGGTAGGGCAAATCAGAGCAGGACTTGTGCTTAATGATAAGTTCCTGGGGAGTGTTATTGAACAAGGAGACCTTTGGGGCTCATAGTTCCTTGAAAACGGAGTCTTGGGTAGACAGGGTAGTGAAGAACGCATTTGGCATGCTTGCCTTTATTGGCCAGTGCACTGAGTTTAGGAGTTGGGAGGTCATTGAGGCTGTATAGGACATTGGTTAGGCCACTGTTGAAATATTGTTCAGTTCTGGTCTCCCTGCTATAGGAAAGATGTTGTGAAACTTGAAAGGGTTTATAAAAAAACTTAAGGATGTTGCCAGGGTTGGAGGGTTTGAGCTCTCGGGAGGCTGAATAGGCTGGAGCTATATTTCCAGGAGTTTCAGAGGCTGAGGGTGACCTCTCTTTCATAGAGGTTTATAAAATCGTGAGAGGCATGGATAGGGTGAATAGACAGGTCTTTTTCCTAGTGTAGGGGAGTCCAAAACTAGAAGACATAAGTTTAAGGTGACAGGAGAGATTTAAAAGGGACATAAGCAGCAGCTTTTTCACATGGGGTGGTGTGTGTCTGGGATGAGCTGCCAGGGGAAGTGGTGGAGGCTGGTACAATTCCAACATTTAAAAGGCATCTGGATGGGTATATGAATAGGAAGGGTTTAGGGGGTTATGGACCAACTGCTGGCAAATGGGACTACATTAGAATATCTGGTTGGCATGGACAAGTTGGACCGAGGGGGTCTATTTCCGTGCTGTATATCTCTAACTCTATTTCTGTTGTCTAGGTTGTTGCCAAGTAGTCCATCCAGTTACACACTGCTTTTCCCCCCACTTTCAAATGGTTGATATAATTCAATGGCTAGCTAGTCCATTCCAGAAATAAGTTATTTGTAAACCACATTGTTGTGGATCTGGAGCCATTTGTAGGCCAAACAGGTAAAGATGGCAGTTTCCTTCCCTGGAAAGCATTAGTAAACCAGATTTTTTTTTTTTTTTTAATGACAATCTAATTGTTTCATGGTTATCATTTAGTCTTTGAATTCAATAAAACAAAAATGAAATTTAAAAGTCACCATCTGATAAGATCAATGGTTAAGGATAGGTAGTGAGAGAGCCAGCATGGATTTGTCAAGGGTAGGCCATGCTTGATTAATCTGATTAAATAGTTCAAATGACTGAGTGGTTGACCAGAAAATGTTCTGATGTTATTTTTATATAGGCTTTCAGAGGCATTTTAATATATTCTCTCATAGGAAACTGTTAGCTTAAGGTCATGGAATTGAAGACACCTTTTGGCTTGGTTAATAGATTGACAAAGACAGAGGAGCAATGGGCAGATATTCTCATTGGCAGGATGTGACTAATTCTGTTCTGCAAGAAACTAGATTGGGCCTCAACTATTGATTTTATGTTCATGAAAGAACTTAGATGATGGAAATAGTAAACCTATTAATACCTCTGTAATTTTATGTTGTGGTCAGAATGATGGCAAATTAATTTTAGTGCAGGAAACTGCAAAATGATCCACCTCTGTCATAATGGATATGACAGTACTTTTATTTAATTAGTGAAAAGCTAGAAACAGTGGATGGCTAGAGAGATTTTAGTCTAGACACAGATCATTAAAATGTCATGAATATTGAAAAAGAAATGGCATATTGATCCATAAACTAGAATACAAGAGAGCAGAAGTCTCATCACCTATCAAAGCCCTGATTAAACTATAACTGCAATAATAGCTCATGAAGCACATGGTCACTTTGGGATGCTGCATAGATTTTATAAGTAATGATACAGGGATTAATACATGAGGCAAAATTACACAAACAGGGATTGTATTCCCTAACTATAGGGATTAAGAGATGGGGTAAAGGCAGGTTAATGGAATTGGGTCACAAACCAGACAGCATATCATTGAACAACCAAACAGGCTCCAAGGACGGACTCGCCTATTTAATGTTTGTATGTTCAACTCTACTTTCGAAATCTGTTCTTTTAACAAGAAACTAGTCACAATCTCCCATTCCTGACCCAAGAATTTGTTCCTATCCCTCTTGCAATATAAGCAGGTTTTGTTTGTTCATTAACTTTAGGGGAAGGCAGTGGCACAGTAGTAACATCACTAGACTAATAATCCACAACCTCGGGCTAATGTTTGGGGGTCATGGGTTTAAATCCCACCATGGCAGATGGTGAAATTTTGAATTCAATTAAACTCTCTTTTTGTTGACTGTCCAAAACAAAAATTGGTTCACAATGTAATCTGCTGTTTCATCTGGTCTGTCCTACATGTGACTCCAGACCTATAACAAGGTTGACTCTTTACTGCCCTATGGGCAATTAGGGATGGACACATAACCAGTGACACCCACATTTCATGAATGAATTTAAAAATATAGCTGACCACAATTTTAGACGACAGTATACTGTCTGTACAATGGGTAAAATCTGAGAATGATACTTGTGTATCGACTAAACATTGTTTCTACATATTCCCACAGTGTACCCTCCCAGGCCACACACCTTAAGTGAGGAATGGAAGGAAAAGCAGGCCAGAAGAATGCTGGACATGCAAATAAACCCTATTGAGGGATTTGCCTCCAAGTGGGACTATGAGAAGAATGAATGGAAGAAGTGAAGTTTGTATTTAAGCAAGTGCTTGTGTTATAACACAATCAGTAACTTTAAATGGTCTAACCTCCTGTTAATCCTGAACCTCTGAGTCTCTGATAACTTGTGAAATGACCACAAACATTCAAGGTTGAAATCAGTTACACATCTGAACAAAATGCAATTTATAATAAAGATTGCTCTTACAACAAAGTTGTACTCATTGGTATGTTTGAGAAATGTCCCTTGCACAACTCATTGCTGGAAACAAATGGAGACTGTTGGGGAAAAAAACCTTAGGAAGTAACCTTGAACTTGCACTACTGCACTGATTGTGTATATGTACTTATTCAGTATACATGATAGGTGCACAAAACATTGTGATGTGAGAAAGTTAATGTTTCAGAACAGTGACACTTGCAGAAGTTTGCATCCACAATGATACCTTACTGAATATTTCCAGCATTTTCTGCTGTATGTCAGATGTTCACCAACAGCAGTGTTTTGCTTTTGTTAGAAGATGGAACTGTTTGTGATGACTAAATGTATTTCCTCCAATTCAGGCCAATAAGAGGAGATGCCTTTGAATTAGCATCTACAGTGGACTAGGATCAAGCCCTCTGCTGATTATATAGTATAGTTATCTGCTTGCCAGAAGACCTTGTCTGTCTGGCACCATTCTCCCTTGCCCATTAAGGCTTGTACATTAAGAATAGGAGTAGGCAATTCAACCCCTCGAGCCTGCCCTGCCATTTTAATATGATCATGGCTGATCTCAACTTGGCCTCAACTACACTTTACTGCCTGTTCCCAATAACGCTTTAACCTGTTAAATCAGGGTCTCTCAAATTTGTTCAGCATCCAGACATTCACTGCACTTGGGTAGTGAATTCCATAGACTTATGACCTTTCTTGAAAGAAGTAATTCTTCCTCGGTTGTTTTATATCTGCCACCCCTTAAACTGCCTAAAACCACGACCTCTTCTAGATTGAGCAGATATTCCTCTTGTGGAGCAATGTCTACTCTTCAACTCTCCTTAGCATCTTATATACCACAATTAAATTTTCTAAACTCGAGAGTATAACCTTAACTGCTCTCTTTTATCATAAGACAAACCTTACATTTGATCTGCAAATTTAGCTCTCTTGCATTTCTATCCAGCATTTAAGGCAGTAATATAGATTGTAAATATGTGGTTTGAGGACTGAACCCTGTGGCACCTTTTCTAGTTACAGCAAGATCCCCATTTATTCTGACTCTGACTTCTGTTTGTTTGTCA